ACTATAAGGCTTTGTATTATTATTATGACCCCCCCCCCCCTCCTTACTGGCAGTAAATTTTCTATATCTCCCCTTGATACTCTGTTGGCGATGACTGATCCACCCTCCCTTCCCCCCAAAATCCTAATTCCCCCAAGCGATTGATAATGACTGGTCTCTAACATGACAAAACCTTCCTAAACTTCAATAAGCCATTTGCAAAAAGATGAAGTCTTTGCCACAAAACAAGGTTAAGTACGAGGCCATCAATAGAAAAACGATTTTACCACCATCCAGCAGACGGACTAACTTTGACAGGAAAGGTGTTTGCTCCTCGATTTGCTTTCAAAATGATTCAAGATTGTTTTAAAATTGAAAATTGCTTGTTATGAAATTTGATGATGATTAAAAATATTTTTTCTTCTAAGTACTCTCCACTTGAGTTTTCTTTCCATAAGTCAGCTCTGCACCACCACTCAATAACAGGTCAATACCCGTTGAGAACGTTGCCTCAGCAGCCAGGTATAAACAGGCTTGACCAGATTCCTCAAGAGTTCCCATACGACCCATCAACTGTAAAGAAGAAGCAGTGCAAAGCAGTTTATGTATGAAGCCCTTATCACCCAGAAGTAGATTCTGTGAATTGTTTAAAAATTAATATGTGGAAAAGGTTGTCTGAAACACACAAACATTTGGATCATTTTGTATGTAAATATTCTAGACCGTATTTACATTTTTCTACCGTATATCTAAGCTTCAATCACTTTTTTCTTATCTTACGTGTTATAGATAATGATACTGATAATTTTGTATGGACGATTGTTTAATTTTCACCTTTTGTTATCAGTTTTTGTAAAATTTTAATATTGCTTAGAGGGCCATGAGTTTATTAGCCAAGGGTATCAAGTCCCACCCTCCTAAAATAAAGTCTTAAATCATTCTATAATTATACATTTGTATAATTTCAGAGCTGAGCAAAGAGTTTCCAGAAATCTGATTGGTCGAGTGGCTCCTTACATGACGCTATATAAACCACTCCACGCGGTTTATATAAAATGTTAAAATAAAATGTTAATAAATGTTACTAAAACGTTTTGATTTCAGAAATTTCTCTGTTGTTCAGCTCTGAAATTATACTAAAACAATTATTTACCTTGGGTTCGGTGAATATTGTCGAATAATCCCTACGACTTCGTCCTGGGAATTATTCGACGATATTCACCTCGCCTTCAGCGAATAAGTGTTAATTATAAGACCACAACACAAAGATGCAGCCAAGACTCAAAACCCCGCTTTGCATTCCCATCTTGAAATCTCAAGAGAGTGAGTGGAATCCTACAAAATTACTAAACTCCATATGGATATAACAGTTTTAAGCAAGGGAGATTCATATTGCCAAGTTCAACATAGCAAAGCTAAATTGTTCAAGAAACCAAGAAAAGAAAGCTGTTAGTAGGTTTAAAGTTACCTGTGCTTCATCGCCATCTTTTTTACTTTTTTCGAAGTTTCCAGAACTCCTAGCTAACTGGTCCCACAATGGCGTCCATACATTTCCTGGTGAGAGACTGAATATAAACAGAAACATATCATGTCCTCTTCAGATTCATTTTCTCATGGTTTCTGGTGCTCTAGTTAAAATAATTTCTTCTTCATCAGAGTCAGATTGTACCTCCAATATTTCCACAATTTCAATACCAATTGAAAGAACAAATTCTACTTCCAGTAAAGTATTAAATGCAATAGCATGTTTTAGGATTTCAGAGAGGTAAGACTTCCACTCAGCATAAACAATGGTTCAGAATGTTTCCTGTTGACCTAAACTCCATGTTTTGCCACAGTGACATCCACAGCTCTGGTCATTGATTAGCAATGCTTAGTATAAAAGCACATTATTTTTTGGCGAGTGCAAGTGTTATCTTATCTTGTTTAAAAGGTTTCATTACCTGTTGACTCGCACTCCATGTTTTGCCTCATCAACTGCTAGAGCTCTGGTCATTGACGTAATGGCACCCTGGGAACAATGTATGCAAAAAATTTTAGACCTCTGTATATTTTATCTGTTAGTGTATGGTGTAATGGTCTCTGTGTGCATTTGAAATAGAGCGAACTCCTTAACAGATTTAAAGCATGATTAAAAAAAACTGAAGAAAGTACAAAGTCAACATAAGCCTGGAAATGTCTTTGCTGCTGCAACACCAAATTGCCTATTGAACTTTTTTCATTTTATCATAAGGTGTTTTTCACTAACTGTTTTTGAATGAATGAATGAATGAATTCCTTAAGATATTGCACCCTTTCTATACAATATTCAAAGGCGCAGTAACCCCCATCAATTTGATAGACACAACACAAAGATAGACCACAACACCAGGCACTACGTGCTTTACTCTTTTCGAACAGTGTGTGGGTTCTTTAACGTCTCACAAATTTTTTTCACATACAAGGGCTTGTGAGACGCGACCTCCATTTATCGTCCCTATCCGAGAAGACTAGAAAGTCTAACCATCTGCAGATATTACTACAAAGGCAGCACTTTCTTCTCAGTTATTTAAAGACCCTGAGTGTTGGTCCGGCCGGATTTGAACTCACGACCTCCTGCACAACAGTCCGACGCTCTACCAATTGAGCTAACCGGGAAAAAGAAACAGTTCAACTTGTTTATTTAAACCCTTCAATAGCTTGAAGTGATTAACATGTAACTATTCCCTATTATAATGATTGATCCATACATTATGCAACAAAACAGGTAACAAAAATACCCAAAATAATCAGGTAGAAGCAGGGCTCGACACTAACTTTTCAACATACTAGCCAAGTGGCTGGTAACATCTTAGATGCTATGACAATGTAAGTTTGTTTACTAGCCAAACCAGCTAGTGGAAACCAAAAACCACTAGACAAAACTGAATTTCTACTAGTCTGTGGCTAGTGGGCTATCGTTAGTGTCGAGCTCTGTAGAATTTGTTATCTTGATATAACATCAAATGCTCGAAACTAATTGACAAGGAAGTGTGTGGCAGCTGAAGGCAAAAATTAACAATCGGTTCTCGGGAGCTATATAGGGTTAAGTGTTTAGACTAATTGTAAGACACTACTTATTACAACTTGAGTCATTCTGTAATGAATGCAATGGTAACATTTCTCATTGGTTACCTGAACCACACCTTTTATTCTTGACCAATGGTTTCCAAAACATAATTAAATGTCACTAAATCTAACTACCGGTGATAAATGACATCAAATGCAATAAACCCAGTGAAATGAAAGCTTAAAACATACCCGATGGTTTGGATCTCATAGGGACACAAGATGCAGTCTTACAAACATACAACAACAAACTACTTAACATTAATGAAACTTTTTGTGCAAAAACTAAAATATATATTGACGTAATGGTAGTGAACACTACTATGTGGATGGACTGCTGGCTCTTAAAATTAGTTGTAACACATTCTCTCTTGATGCAGACTTCACCTAATAATATATGCAAAACACTTTTCCATGTCAAGGATACACATATCATGTAGTTCTTTCCTAAAATAATGTTTACCTTGCTTGCCACATATGCCACAGCTCCAGGCTGACCAATCTGTGCAACTAGACTGGAGACGTTAATGATGTTCCCTTTTGTTTTCCGCAGATGAGGCAAAGCAAACTAAAATGGCAAAATCCAACTCATATTTACAAAGTAGACACAAGCCAAAATTGAAAACACTGCAGCCATAGTTTACTTGGTCCAGTCACCTGGAGCCTCCAAAGAACCAATGTAAACAATGGGGTGCTGCGTCGATGGAGGGTATTGCATGATAACTTGGTTTTATTAACTGAGTTGATAACTGAATGTATATTGGTTACTGTAGAGAGTTTCTAAAGCCAACGTTTCAAGCTTTAGCCCTTCATAAAAGCATACTACGAAGAGCTAATGCTTGAAATGTCAGCTTCTGGTGGCCATTTTACATCAACAATGCATATGCTACAGATAACCATAAAGCAAATTCTAAGTGACATATATTAGGATTAACTGTTCTGTTCCATCTTGAAGACTTACTTAAGGAGATAAACAAGGAAGCTATGAATGGCAAAGGTGCTAATGCTTTGAAGCCTACACATACAACCTTTATCCCTGGCCCTGTCCTTCCCCTAATTAACACATAGTACCTCCTGTTTCTCGTTTAATACTTACCTTGCAAAATATAAAATAATTCACAAGGTTAAGATTCAGTAGATTTCTAAACTCATCAATTGTTGTGTTGTCCACTGTTTTTCCTTCAGGTGGATCTATAAAAAAGATGAAATCATTTAAAATACTTGATCAGCAGGGATTTGCTAAAGCAAAGGCATAGAAAAAACCAGTCACGATGACCCCGAAACGTCGAGTAATAAATCTTTCCTGGTTTTTTCTATATCATTTAAAATGACGATTAAATATGACCGATTGAATTGCGGTAACTTAAATGAGCCATGAAAAAACTAGGAGGTAATTAATTACTGTTACTCTGGATTTTTCTTCATTATTTAATTTTAAGGAACCAGTGCTAAGGAAGATTTCTTTGAGGTTATTGTGATAATACCTCAGTCTCATTATCTGCTTCAATCATACCCTACATTCTATTTTTTTGATTAATTAAATCAGACATCACAGTTTTATGAACTTACGCCATCCAGCATTGTTGATCAGGCAATCAATACAGCCATACTTTTCCACAGTCTTATCTACCAAATTCTAAAAAATAAAATGCAAATTCAGTGCAGCCTAAAAAAAACTGTGGAACCAGATAGTCCTAAAATGAACTCAAAAGACTTGAAAACATCCAGGGTGCTTCTCACTAACAGAACAAGAACTCTGAGCCTACATACATCACATTGGGTACTGTTTAACTCCCAAGAACCAATTCCTGGATTTTTTCATTCTGAATCATTAAAAATTTTGATTCCAAATTCTTTCATAGGGGCAAAAGTCATTACAGTAAGAGGTTATAAGAGACATGCTCTAACCCAAGGCTGTGGTCTAGCAGTGCCCAGTGGCCGCTGGCACCTTACTTCTGCTCTTAAGTGACTCAGGAATCTCAATTTTTTTCATACAAAGCGTATGCTGGGTACCCTGGATTTCACAGTTTCAGAACGCTGGGCTCCCTTCAATTTTTCTTAGAGTACAGTACAGCCTAGCAAACCATTACACCTTCACATCATGCAGTATCAGGGTTCTCATTACGTGCTGGCAGCCGGCTAAAAAACAAGCTACTTTAAATTTAGAGCCGCCTACTTTTCGGTGATAAGCTTGCCTCCTTATTTTGTATCTACACATAGATTTCAAAGTTAAAAGTAATACTTGAAAGCCGTCTTCAGCAGCAAAACGTATTACACAATGCCAATGCGTGCCTCCTACCTTCTGCAAAATTCCGCTGACCGGTGTTTGTTGTCAACAAGTGCGGTGTGGTGTTCAGCGTGTTAGAAGAAGGCAGGAATTCTTATTATGTAATTAATTATAGAGTACCCATGAGTAAAAGAAAACCCACTACAAGCCAGCCTGGAATAGATCGATATTTCTGTAAATCACGAAGAATGGAAAGCCAAGTAGATGAAGGTGAGAAAACAGCCAGTGATAGTGATCGGCAAACGCCAGCGATTCCCATGACGAGCAATTTAGCAACACGTGTTGATGAAAATGGGAAAACAGCCGGTGATGTGGGCGATCGGCAAACACCAGCGATTCCCACGACGAGTGATTCAGTGGCACGTGTTGATGAAAGTGAGAAAACTGCCAATAACAGCGATCGACAAACACCAGCGATTCCCACTACGAGTAATTCAGCAGCATGTGTTGATGAAGGAGACAAAACAGCCGAAAGCACAAACATCCATCCTCTGTTGTCACAGGTACAGTGTGAAGCGTTGATAAAAGAGTTTTTCACTCAAGGTAAGCTTCACAACTACTATACCTGTTTCAACAAATGTTCAAAACTCACTGAGCAGGAATTGCAAAGAATCAAGCCTAAGAAGTTTAACCATGACTGGGTGGAAAAAATCGACAACTGGTGGCTTTGCTATGTGGAGGGGGAAGGAATGTTTTGTATCATTTGTAAAAAACATGGAGTTACAAATCCCCAGAACAAAACTGACAAGTTTTCTGGAGTAGCGTCTGACCGATTCAAGTCAGATGCTATTGAAACGAACAGGAAGTCAGGGCGTCATAAGAGTGCTTTAGAAGCAGAGATGATCTCAAGAATGTTTGTTTTCCAGAAAGAGTTTGTTGAGAAAAAAGAAACCGAAATATCAGTCTTAGAGAAAGCCTTTTCAACAGCTTATTTTGTAATGAAAGAGTGCTTGCCAAACAGAAAATTCTTCCCACTTATTAATTTTATAACAAATGTGATAGGGGTGGCTGAAATGAAATACTTTCAACATAGATCTGAAGGGTCTTTGACTGAAATCTCCTTGACAATTGGAAATGTTGTACAAGAACTTACTTTGAAGAAGGTTAGAGCAGCAAGCTGTTTTGGAGTAATGACTGATGAGATGACAGATGTTAGTGTCACCTCTCAGTTAATAACTTTTGTCCAGTATTTATGCACTCAAAGTGAAACAGTCGAGACAAGTTTTCTTTCTGCCCAGAATGTGCTAAAAGAACATGATGCAGCTACTGCACAGGCAATCTACGACTTGCTCAAAGAGGAGCTTCTCTCATCACAGTTAGGCATAAAAAATTTTGATGGGGCTGGCAACAGATGGCGCATCAGTCATGGTGGGCACAAGAGAGATTGTAACTAATCTTCTAAACTAAAGCGAGATAATCCATGCATCATTGCTATACACTGTGTATGCCACAGGCCAGCTCTTGCATGTACTGATTCTAATGAAGACACCAAATACATTCAAGATGTATCTGGGTTACTAAGACAAACGTGGAAGCATTTTGTGAACTCAATCAAGCGAATGGCATAATTGATGAAAGTACTACCAACTGTGAATGAAGTGAGAGTGAGCTCAACCAAAGGCAAGAAGGTGTTGGCCAAAAAACTGAAAAAAGCTTGCAAAACTAGATGGCTAAGCTTTGACAGATCAGTAGAAGCTATGAAGCAACAGTACTGTGGTGTAATACAAACACTGCAAGAGTTAGATAGCATACACAATGATGCCACAGCAGCNCTGGCTTGAGGCAAAGGAGAGAAGAAAACTTCCAAAGGTACCAAAGTCAGATAATCCTAATTCAGAGCCATCTCTGGTGATTGTCCAGTGTGAAACAAAGAAAATGGGAGTGCAATGTGAAAGGGAGGAGACAATTGCTGTTCAGAATGGTACAGCTGCAGATAGGGAGCATGAGGAAAATGTAAATGAGGAAGACCTTGATGAAGTTCTAGAGGCCCTTAATCTGCAATCAAAAGGTTCAGAGAGTGACACTGACTGTGACCCTGACTCCGCTTTTGGATCTGACAATGATGACTTGGCATTTTAGTTCTTTCTAGCATGGCCAAATGCTCAGTCAAGCTAACTCTGTGTTAATAATTGTTTCAACCACTTTTGAGAGAATGAAACTAATTCAAATCAATACACACAAACAGTGACAAAAGGAGTTTCAATTTATATATTTTCTGCCTTGAATGGACTTGACATTCTATAAAACCTTTACTTTAATGGACTACTGCCCTTTTTGGGGTGTAGTCTGGTCCCATTATAAGGATTCCAAGAAAAGAAAGATGTTCAGTAAAATTTATGGTTGTTTCTAATAAATAATTATTTCTTAAAACCAAATTTGCTTGCCAAAAGGCTCAAAATGGCAAATCTAACCTTTTATATTTTGAAGTTTTTCAGAGGGGGGAGGGGAGGGGGCATGCTGCAAGACCCCCTTAGAGGCTCGTGCCTGTGGTACTCGCTTCTCCCGACACCTTCTTTTATATTTCAGCCGTCTACATCAAAACTTATTGAGAACCCTGAGTATGCATCACTATTCTCCATACTCTTCTCCATACATTTCACACTAAGTCGAAAGCATCTTCATTTTGTCAGTTTTAATGCTCAGATAATACAAACTCTGTGATTTGTTTGATTATTGAGGCGCGAACGCTTTCCAGAATATGGTAAGTAAATGCTGATTGGCCAATTTCTGGAAAGGAATGTTGTTCGAATGTGAGCAGCCCTTCGTGGGGGGGTTTTCGCTAGCGTGACGACGCTGGAAAGGGCTGCGAGGTAGACTACTTCAGTGGGTGATCATTTACTTTATTCTCCTGACCTTACTGTGCGATTCAGGGCTGATACTACAAGGAGAAATTAGATGCTGGTCACTCTTAGCTCTTAGGGCTACAAAATTACGTTCAGACTTGACACAAAATCAAGCAATGTTTGGTCAAAGTTAGTTCTTAATAACCAGTTGGTGAGCAGCTAAATTTAATAGACCCATCCTAATTCAAATCATACCTTAATATCTTCTTCTTTACTAACATCGCATTTTATGAAGTATCCTTCTCCAGGACCCTTTTCATTGACTTCTTTTTCCAGTTTTTTTCCATCCTCAACTAAAATAATTTCAAACAGAGTAATATTGATTTGTGATTGCATTCTGAATTTATTTAGCTCAATTGGTTAGAGTGCCAGATTGTGTTGTGCGAGAGGTCGAGGGTTCGAGCCCCGGCCGGACCAATACTCATGGTCTTAAAATAAGTGAGGAGAATTTGCTACCTTTGTATAATCAAGAAATGGATAGATATTCTAGTCTTCTCAGATAAGGACGAATAAACTGTAGGCCCCCTCTTCTGCAGGGTTACGGGTAGGAGACGATAATTTCCCATGCACGAGATTACTGTGTGGTGGATGTCCTCCCCTGGGTGGGATGGGTGGGTGTTGCCCTGAAAAGCCCCTATGGGGAGTGGTCGATTGCCCTTTAAGATAAAAAATGCCTTTGCAGTTTTTACTCATCAATATATTAATGGCAATTTTGACCATAATACCCTTTGCCCATTGATTAGGCCAGCAAGAGTTCATTTTTTTCTGTTGGTGTGAATTATGAACCAGGTTGACATTGAAGGAGTTATGAATGAGAAATGTCTCATACAATTTGGTTTTTTCTGTTCAAAATTTTTGTCTTTTCGGTAAACTAGCTGAAATAGCAAGCTATTATTCTGGGTTGAAATCTGGTGAAGCTAGATGACACTAGTATTAATAATACATAATATATACAACAGTAGAGTTATTACTCACCACCTCTTGCACAAAAAACTACTTTGGCACCAGCCTTCACTAGAAATGAAAAAATCATTATAAATAGATTTGAAGTCATTGTGGGCATATGTGTTCTTTTTAAGCTGGAAAATTATTAACAGCTAACAGGGTGTATCTCATTGGCTCTCTGACCTCTGTTATCACTGTTGACAAAACTTGTTGATTTTGTTGCCGTAAGTCAGGTCACATGATACTAAGCTTGCAGTACTTTCTGCACCACCCAAAACGCATTTGAAACACAGAATATAACATCTGCAAATGTAAAAGTCATAATCTAATGGAAAAATACAAGGTGATCTGAAGTAAAAGGCAAAAACGGGCCATTATCAAGTTTTCCCTTGGCCAAAAAAAAAAAAATTCCGATGTTAAAATTTATAGATTCAGTCTGATCCATGGAACCCCAGCTATTTTTCTCTAAAATTCACGCAGTCTTCAGGCGTCACCCTGACACCTCTACATGTAGCTGCAGTCACCAGGAACTGCAGGCAAATTCAAGCGATTTACGTAAATTCTACTGAGCAACTGCTTCAATAGAGGCACCGACACCCTTCTCAAAATAACAAGGGACGAATTTCTTAAATTTCTTACCAAATTCTCTCACAATTCCTTCACCGATTCCCTTAGAGCCTCCAGTAACGATGGCCACTTTTCCACTATATCGCAAGTTCGATACTACACCCTCTGTCATATTTCAGTTACGTTGGAAAATATCTAATAGAAGGTGAAAGGTATGAAATAAATTCTTTCTGATTCTGCGTTGATGCGCTTCAGCTCAAGGAATTAACTCTCACGGTTGTCTCACGGAAGTCCCAGAGAGGCTCTGGGGAGAATGTATACCTCGTGGTGAATCCTGGGATTTACTTTATTTAACCGCTGACTGTGTGCAGATTCACTGATCGTTAAATCTCTCGTAGTACACCTGATGCGAACATGGTTACTTTTAAACATTTATTTCCTTGTATTTTCCTTTTAATATATGTCACATCGTCTGCTTATGGCTTTATCGAGGGGCTCTACTGTGGAACAGAGAACTGTTATGACGGTAGGGATTTTATTTGTTACGTTTGTTGTCAAACGAAGACGATCAACTTGATTCAAAGCTGGTGTCGATTTCAACTTTACGTGGTACATGTATGTACCTTTATTTGTTAACGCATCTCTCTTTTGTGTGTTTGGATTATAGTACTGGGGGTCTACAGGGAATCTTCAAAGGTAATCTATAACATATTTAGATAACGTCTCTTCATATCTGAGAAATTCGAGTCCGCGTATGATACACACGCGAGTACTTGTGTGTGAAAAATTGAAAAAAAATTATCACTTTAAATTTAATCTTGTTTAAAGAACGGTTTCGTGGGTTGCCACATGTGCTGGTGTGGAATGTAAACAAACCAACGTTATTCTGATCTAATGGAAAGCTTCATTTAAATATCTTGCCAAAAAAATATTCAAAAAATAAATAATACTTTAGTTACATTTTGTCACGATAAATTCCCCTCAGTTACAATGGACCATTTTTGTGCGTATTTCCATATATATTGTAATTCCCTTGATATCAGCCCGTCTTTGTCATCTTGTGATTGTTCTTCCTCCGTTTTACGTGGGCGATTTGTCCTCGGATGGTGAGTTAAAAGCCTAAGTATTCAACGCGAGAAAGAACCCACTCAAACAAGTCACAGTTAAATAAGCTTTTAGGTGTTAAATTATCCACCAATTGACCTTTAATTTTAAGGTTTAATATAGCGGTTGACAAAAGCATGAATAAATAATTAGGAGCCTTGGTAAAACTCTTAAAGTTTCTTTTATTGCTCCAAATGCTGATGTATTTTTAGATCACATGGCAAGATCTTGGCTTAACTTTCACATGCTAGCAATAAAACCATTCTACAAAGTATTTTCAACTTGTATACTGGTTTTGAGCTAAAACGTGCAAAAGCAGAATCTCAACAGTAGTGAAATAGCTTGGTCTTCCTTCCCAAAACATTCCTGCAACATATCTAATGATTGAGCAATCCGATGGTCATAAGTTGTCCAGCCATCCAGACTATAGCCAAGAAAAGGGTTTATCGTTCAAACTCAATAAAACTCAATAACTTTGCAGGTACTTCTCCATTGATCCAGTTAGTATGCTTGTGATAGTATTCAATCTTTTGACTTAGAACATCTTTGTGAACTTTCAGAGATTTAAGTCCTACACATCACAATACACTACAGGTGACAAGTATCTTTGGGCTTGACACTAATGGTAGCCAACTAGCCACAGACTAGTACAAATTCAGTTTTGGCTGATGGTTTTTTATTTCCACCAGCCAGTTTGGCTAGTAACCAAACTGAAATTGTTGTAACATCTAAGTTATCACTAGCCGCTTGGGTAGCAAGTTGAAAAGTTAGTGTCGAACCCCATATCTTCTTTCCTTTTTTCCTGGGTTTGTGATGTTTATGGTGATCACATTTTACTTTCTTTACAGTCTGACATTGCAAAAGCATACAGAAAACTTGCCAGAAAGTACCATCCTGATAGATACAAGGTATGAGCATTGCCACATGTTGATAACTAACCCTTCAACTTCCATGAGTGACCAAGACAGAATTTCAATAGGCCATTTTACAGTTGTGTACTTAGTTGCCAAGCCTTTGATTCAGAGTGAGGCTAAAGATGACCTTGTTGTGACAGAGACCTGTATCTAGTTAGCATGATAACAAAGTGATTTACATTTGAAAGGCAGCAAGGTTTGTATCATAACAAGGTCATCTCTAGCCTCACTCCTGTTCAAAGGCTTAGCAACCAAGCACACAACTGTAAAATGGACTATTGGGAGATAGTGAGCTGATCAATACCAAATTCTCATAAATAACATCATATGAATTCTATGGTAGACAGTAGGGAGAAATACTAAGGAGATCTTGGGATTGCAAGGGCCAAACTCTCCACTCTTAAGACATATCTCTAACATATACATTCATATATGTAGGGAGTGAGGCGTGAGTAGTCCAGTTGTCAGTGTGCTGGACTCTGGGTCGGTTGGCCTGGGTTTAATTCCTTGCTGGGGCATGACATTGTGTCCTCAAGCAAGACGCTTCACTCACATTGCTTCATCTTCTCGGATAAGACGTAAAGCCGTAGATCCCATCTCCTGCAGGGTTAGGGGTAGGAGACGTAAATTTCCCATGCACAAGATTACTGTGTAGTGGATGTCCTCCCCAAGGTGGGATGGGTGGGAAGGTGAGATCGCTACATGGACTGAAGTGGCTGCCAGAGGCGCCCGATAAAAATGGTGACGTCTGATCTCAACCTTACAATACTGTTAAGCGTGACTGAATATATCCACATAGTAGTCTGTGCTATATAAATGTAAAAATGTAATGTAATGTATTTACACTGAACAAGTTATATTTTAATATGAAATTAAAGTTTTTACCTCAGAAATGAAATAGTTATTCAATATATATGAAATATGGGTTGCTACTTTTAAATAGTCTAGGTGATTCTGTAATAGTTTAGTTTGTGTCAATCTTCTGTGCTCCAGGCCCTAAATCATTATTCTTAAACATTTATTTATTAATATTCTCATATAACAGCCATTTTTCTTCGTCTTGTGTCTTACATATTCCTTTAAAATTTCTTCTGGAATTTGAAGGGGAGATTTATGAAATGTTCAGACATGTAATTGAGTTATTTTTCCTTACTTCTATCTAGGGTGAAGATGCTGAAACCAAATTTCAACTTATTGCAACAGCATATGAGGTGAGACATTTTTGTTCCAGAAAAATACATGAGAAAATTCAATGTTAAGTAATTTATATAAATTCACTGGGTCCATCGACCTCTTGTCTAGTGAATACTGGAGGATGAAATCAAAGCATATTGTATATCCAAAATTGTACATGTTGTTTGATTAGGGGGTCTTGGAATGTTAATTATTAGGTCAAGCAATTTGCACAATGCTTTTTATCTGCCAATCAGTAAGGCTTACTATACAGGGTGCATTTCCCCTCAGGTTGATCAGTTTTAAGAACAGTTTATGGGTTCAGGTTTAGTCTAGTAACCTTGCCAAGAACTACTATTAATATCTTTTGTGTTTGTCAAATTTTGATTGTGTATAGTAGGTCCACATCAGCCCTTCGGCTGCCAAACAATCTCAACCTACTTATCAACTAAAGTTTACCTTACCTTACCTTACTACCCTACATTCTTAGGTGCGATTCAAGTATTTTGTTCCTCTTACGTATACTGTTGGTAACATTGTACACAATTGGTTCAATAATTCCAGGTTTTGAAGGATGATGAACAGAGAGCAGACTATGACTACATGGTGGACAATCCAGGTTAGGAAGTGTGAATGATACCTTACTGAATAAATCATATTTAAACTCTCAAATAAAGCTGAAGGTAACCATTCCACATTTTCCTTCAGTAGCTTTATAATTTTACAATGGTTTAGAGAGATGCCTCTGAGGCTAATGGATTAAAAATAAGCTTCCAAGCTTTCACTGATTCACACTGATGATACCATGGATCAGGGAGAGCTTGGCTGATTATTTTGCAGTATACGTAGCTTAAGGCCTCACTTAAAACCATAATAGCTGAACATCTAAGTAATATGCTATTATTATTGAATTTTATTGTGCTTATTAAACAGAGGAGACCTATGGTCATTATTATCGATACTACAGAAGACAGGTGGCTCCTAAAGTGGATGTGAGAGTCGTTATAGCTGCTTCAATCACAGTTGTCTCATTGTTGCAGGTAGAGTAACTCATGATTTTGTTAAATATCCTTCTCTCTTTCTTTATCAATCTTTGCTTCTGAATTAAGCTCACCCACAGTCATCTTTTTAAAACTAAATCTCTGGCCTATAAAGCCAGTGCTCTTTCAAGAAATGGTTTGAAATGGTGTTCTGTTTGAATACAAGCAGTAAGCAGTGAAAAAAACAAAGTGATTTTGAATGTAAGAATTTGAATAAATTTGTAGCCAATTTAAGATTGAGTGTAACCCGTAAGGTCAGGCATAGAAACAGAGGGGAAGAGGTAAACTTCTAACAGGTTTTCTGTAACTACAGCTATCTTTAATTTTTCTTGCATCCTCTCTCATTTCAATGTTGCCTTCTCCTTCCAATATCACCCCTGAGTCGTACATGCAGGTCACAAGAATGGAGGAATGATCACCAGCTAAAGCAGTTCTTGATTGTTCAACAAAATTCTCCTTTTCAACACCTTAGGAAATGTGTAGAGAATGGTATCAAGAATATGCAAACCGGTATATGCATACTGCTCATAGTTTCTGACCACATTGACTTGCAGGAGGTTATGCTCTCTTACAATAGATATGAGACAAATTAGACGATTTCTGTGCAGTAAACAAATTAGAGGATTGGCTTAGTGGCACCACCTATTTAGAGAGGAAAGAAATTATTTTTCCACTCATTGTTGGTACTTAGCTTGTATCAACAACAATAATGTTTGAGTTTCTTTGTTTATAGTATCTCCATGGATGGTCCCGCTACAATGAAGCTGTCAAATATGCCTTAACCATGCCCAAATACAGAAACAAGGTACAGTCCATGTATTAATGCACTCCCCAAAGCTAAGCGATGAGAACATTTGAGTACGTATCAATTTCAAAGGAGACATGATTGCGAAATGTTGTTTAACCCTTTAAATGGTAACAGTGATACAATATCACCTCTGAATTACAAATCAAGGTCACAAGGATAATGGAAATGATCACCGACTAAGTAAGCTGTTGATTGTGAAGCAAATTCTCCTTGTCAGCACCTTGAGAAATGTGTAGAGAGCAGTATGGAGATTTTGCATTGTGATGTAAGGATGAAAAGGGTTAATTCCCAATGTCTTTTAGCCTGTTTCAGGTGTTCAGTTATAAACACAGCAGCAGAGTGAAACAGCAAGGGAGGGTTGGGTCCTGGTTGACCCAGTCCTTCCTTGCTTTTATTCTGATCCTCTGTTTTACCAGCTGGAGGCCTGGAACAGGTTTGTTGTCTACCTACACAAGTATAAATCCAAGTACTTTTATAAACCACTGCAACACAGTTTATTGACTTCTTAATTTAGCCAAGAATATTGTCTTATTTTCTCTATCAAAGGCGATGCAAAGAGCAAGAGAAGAGGGTCTTCTGAACAACTTGAAAAAAGGCAAGAAATCCAAGGTAAACATTACTTTTTACCACATTTGGCAGTAATGTCTCAAACATGGATGACTCGGAATTTTGAAGTTGATATTGTGATAAAAAACAAATCAACATTGGTTTAGGGAGGTCTGTACTCTTATTGACAATGATATTTGTCAACATTGTGGTAAAAATATTGATTTGTGGTTTAACCGGGTCTGTGCTCTTATTGACAATGATATTCATCATCACAGTAGTCAAACTGTTGATTTGTGAAGCTGAGGTTTTGAATGTTACTGGTACATGTACAAATCTGATCCAGAATTCTTGTGTCAATAAGCTCTTCAGTGGACAGTAGTTCCATTGCTACTTGTTGGTTAATCAAGATTAGTACTAAGGAGTTGCATACATATACACACACTTTTAAGTGTGTGTACAATATTAAAACATTGACATGACTATTAAAAATCTGGATAAGCATTACTCATTCTTCAAAAAAACTTGCCCTGGATCTGTATGCATTCACTATGTTGTTTAGTACAATACAGAAAGCACCATCCTAGTTAGGAAACTTTCAGTCACTAAACATCATCAACGATATTTTTATTACAGGAAGAACTAAGAGAAGAAGAGGAGTCAATTCTTAGGGGGGTAGTGGAGAATTCTTTGGACATAAGGTTTGTCCCCAGTTTTCAATTTAGCTCTTTCATATAACTTTCCAAACCAATACTCTAGTTAATAACTTCATCAATTAACAATTTGTTGTTTTAGTGGAGTGGTCCTTAGATGTACTCATGAGCAGTGATTTTAATATTATGTCTTTTGTGTTGGTTATGACAATATTATTACCAGCTATCTCTGATTCCATACTTTGTGGTTTTTTTTTCTAGGGGAGGCCACAGCAAGCCCAGAATAGCTGATGTTCTGTGGATAAGAATTATACTTCTGTAAGCACCTTCCTTTTTATTAATTCCCAAGATTTGAGTCATTTTCTCCCGATTGTCTCAGTGATCCTTCACGCAAGAGTGTCACGCAAAGTCATTTTGAACAATTGCGTTTTCTCCAAAATTCCTGGTTTAACAATTTGGGTGGTTAGCCGCAGTCTGAGTGACCAAAGTCGATCGTAAGTGAAATGACTCTGCGTGACACCTTTTCTGGTACTGTCTTGCTCCTTGTTCGTGGAATTCGTTTTCAGTCGTTTAAATGCAGATTTATTTTTTTCACCACATTTTTAGCCCGTACACAATTTTGAGTTACTTTGCCTGGCTGATACACTGGCATTGGAAGTTTAACATCTTGCGAAAGGAGTATGGGGACAACGAAAAGGCATACCTCATTAGGAAAAAGTTGGGAGTAACCTCTGTCCAATGGGATGCGATGGAGCCAGTGCAGAAAGACGTTCTCTTTTCAAGACAGTTGTGGATTGACGCAAACTTTCGGGTGGGTGACATATTTACGGGGAAACTTCTTCTTTGATCGAGTTTGCAGATTTTGAGCAAGCTTGATTGTGTAAAATCAGGTAGTTTAGGACTGCTTTCGATTGAAAGTGAAATAAAACATAGGCTACCTTTCGTTTTGTTTTATTGTACTTCACTCTGTGATTCAGGGTCGAGAAATTGCGACTGATCACTCGCGCTTTCTAGCCTTCTAGACAGTTGATGTTTTCACTTTACGCTTTAATCGGCTCATGGTGAAGTTTACTCTACTCTGATTGGCGGCTACAGTTGCTAGGTTTCTGAGGATACGACACTCTGCTCTGTGATTGCCGTAAACAAAAACCTCGCATCACAGTGTAAATCAATGGCTACCTGCCTTACCGCGTTTTCCCTCGCTGTAGGCCAATAACTTGGTTCTCATTTCGGTCGCTCTGAAAATGGTTACCTCTGAGATGATTGAATATGAGCCATTTTTATTGTATTTTTTTACGACACTCGATGAGGAAACTAAATAATGAACGTCCATGAAGGTCAGTAATTTGCTCGTCAAATGTGTAACATCTCATTTTCCTGATTTCTCCAGTATTTCTCCAAAACAAACAGCATATCTCTTGTGTGATTTGCCGAATGTTTGTGATCAGGGGCTGTTCTCTGATGGCGCTGATATTAGGGTGGAGCTACGTGTTAGAGTCAGTCGAACAAATATGGAACAAACAGCATTCATCTCTGTTCTCTGTTGTAGGAATTTAAAAAAGAACAAGAAGAGGAAATGAGGGTGAAACTTGCTCAAAGCAACAAATACAAAGCGTACAGGTATTGTTTTTCGTTAGTTAAGTAATCTAGAAAAATGTATAACTTCATATTTGATGCGCGTAGCTCGTGTATAGGCTGTTTCTGAAATTCTCGAAAGCCTCGATCTTAAAACAACAGTAAGTATTCCCATGCAAGCAAATCCATTCACAATAAAAGGTTTTGTACTTGCCTTCCTTTTGAAATAGAGGCTGTTAAGAACTCGTCAGTCACGGTTCGTTCAACTTTGAAACTTTACCCAAATATGTGAACAATTTTCCTTTGCAATCCGCGTCGGTCCTTAATCCGCACCACTCTAAACCACCATTGATCCTTTCTGAATTAGGATTTTTCTACTCGAGTACAGCTTTAGATTCGCTTTAAGTATCGTTACTCAGCCCCTTAGCCATTTTATTCCCAAGATCTCGACATCAATCTCCTCTGCATTTTGTGCCATTTTTACCCTTGAGATTGTAGTGTTAAATCAAACTGTATCCCTAAGTTGAATGTTTTCTTTATTATTATTATTTATCAACACCTTTCTGCTCAAAAATGTGTTGTTAATTTAACAAAAAAAAAGTCGCTTTGAACGCTCCTGGGGTGAGGTAAATTCAGCAAGGAGGTAGTTTTCCGCCATGAATAGTGATTAAATGGCACCGTGAAACTGCTATGATCAATTTATTTCTTTCTCACTGTATTTTCTTCTTGTACTTCCAGACGCTACATGAAGAAAGGCGGCCCCGGGCAGATGACGTTTATCGAAGATGATTAGATAGATATTGTACAGCGTAAAATGGACACAGATGATGTAATTTGCTTATTTAATAATGGCAGAGATTGTTTGTTGATGTTAGTTACACGTTAGTTTGCTCGGGTAGGTACTTCTCTGTAAAACCTCAAGCAAATTAAGTGCGTGAAATGACACAATAAAAAATAAATTTTGCTGTTTTACACTGATGGGTTTCAATTTTATCTTCAACCCGGGCGTAAAAACCAGTCAAGGAGGTATGACGATCTTCAGCTCTCGAACGTGGAAAAATCGTATTTTTCGAAACACATTGGAAGGGAGTACTTAAGGAAAGTTAAAAAAATTACTGGGTTACTTTTTTTTCTGAGGAATCACCCTAAACATATCCTATTTAATGCCAACCAATGATGTCAGGTGTGGTAGAATGAAAACCATAAAGATTAGAATTTCCCGCAACAAGATATGAAAATAAGCTCCATCACTGTCAGAAATTGTCATTCAAGTGGAATAAATTGTGACTAAATAAGGAAGTAGACTACAGCTTTTTAACTATTTCGATAGGATTCATGGCTTGCGCGCTTCGTGCTTTGGCCATAAATCCGGGCGGAATAAACTCGAGTACAGACCTCGGGCTCGGTTAGTAAGAGGTCAGTTAACAAAGGCGAATTTCACAATGATCATAAACCAGACAAAGCAACCACAAATAGACAAATTACTCACGGTTCCTTTCGTTATCATTAAGTGAACCACTCGTACCTGGCTTATTTCAAATTTGGAACCTCGAATGCGGCGCTTTTTCGAGGGCGGCGCCCATTGAAGAATGGAATGCCACCAAGAAATGTTCTCTTGTCACTGACCCCCTTCAAGATCTGAGTTTCCACCCTCCTCCCCCAGCGCGCGTGTGGGATACCCTTCCATGTAAGGTTGATTTCGAAATTAAGAGTTTGCTCATAGTTCCCTCAATATATCCGACCACGTATGAAGCATTGCAGTTTGTGAAACAATTCTTGGAATAAGCGCCGCACTGGGACCGCGGTGCCCATTTGGAGGCTTCGCTTATCAACTTCTCTGTTCTTAAATGTGGCGTCGGTTTATTCGATGGACGTGCTATTCGGGGCGGCACTTAGTCACGTAACTACGGTACTTGCCTTTACTCCAGAACTGCATATCAAATCAGTTCACCTCTTGCTGCAGTTAATCCACCAGTACTAACTACCGTTAAAAGTCGTTTTTAAGTAGCTCGTTCAAGTTGCGACTTATAAAACTTTTTCACGGATTGGCTATCTGCTTTAACCTAAGATATCACGATATGCTAGATGCTGCAGGTAATTTAGCAGAACGCTAATATCACGATTCGACCGGCAAGAAGTGTGAAACTACTGCTTCAATCCTCTAATGAACAATAGAACTTATTCATTAAATTGTTTTAATTGACCCTTGTGCTTTTGTAGTTGTTGTCAACATGGATCTTGTTCCAAAGGTACAATGCAGTTTTCCAGCACTCGCATCCATTGGTATTTGAAGCTAGTCCAGGTTAAGTTCGTTCTTTACAGTTATTTAATCTCCGAGTAGCGCTATGCGTTCTATCACTAACAATTTGGGGTTAATACGTATGATGCACGATCCTTCGCAGTAGATAACGCTATTTTATGCAATAGCGAAAATCAGACCTGAAAAAAATCAGGCCTGTACGGGATTCGAACCACTGACCTCTGCGATACTAGTGCAGCGCTCTACCAATTGAGCTAACAAGCCAACTGGGAGCAGAAAAATATATGAACTTCATATATTCATTGTATCTAATTTGGGGTTAAGTTCTTAATCTAGTAAACAAAGCCAAAGTTATTTTGTTCAAATCGTGCACTTAACGGCTTCAGTTCCAACCAATCACGGTGCACAGCGTTGCATATATTTTCCCGCTAACTGATGGCCTAGCGACCTAGCCCGTATTATTGATCGTTCAAGAAAAGAAGAAAGCTGCCTCGTTCTGAAGAGTACCGCAACACACGTCAAACAATACATTTATACAAAATAATGCTTCCAAAGACAATAGTTGATTAGGTGGTCATAAAAAGAATATTTTCGTCCAAACTTGTCGGCAAACTTTGGAGCATTAGTTACCAATTTCATGCGCGAATTTTAAGGAAAATGAGATGTGGCTACTGTCTGAGAAGGATTATAAGATGAGTATTTTACTCGACTAAGTATAACAATGAGATAAACAATGTAATCTCAGTGCAGCTTCAGCTTTTTGTATTTCAAATGTAATCATAATTTTCATCTATTTTTACACATATGTCATTATTTCCTATCGTGCAATCTCGTTCCCATGTGCTTTCTTCGTGTTACTTTCTGGTGGTAAAACTTGTATTATCCTTGTAACTGGAGTCGGGCATTTGTGCGGTAACTGATATCATAATCATCCAAAAGGCAAGATCGCTATCTCGCTGCACTTGAATTATCCTGGAAAACATCTACAGCAAGGGAAACTGGTCGTTATTGTCAACGTGGCCACAAATACTGCGTGGACATAGCTTACAGGTTCCTCAACCAATAAGAAAGGAAAAACGCCCTGAGTAAAATTTTGTGCACATTCTATTAGTGCATCATATTTAATTATAGTGGACAGAAATACACTTTCATTCAATAAAATGACTGTTGAGCTCTGGGGAGAACAACAAAAACAAACACTAAATCGTCAGTTCAAACAGAAATTGAACATTCAGGACGTGGCTGCGTAAGCTATGCATGTCTGTAGATCTCGCTCAAGACTTATATAAGCTTAAATTTTTTACGAGAATGCATTTCACACATATATGCAGTTCGCCACCCCACTTACTTTGCGTGTGAAAGAAATGGCCATTCAACGCGCTATTTATCTTTGTAAAAACAATTTAGGTTTTCGGCCTTTCACCTTTTTTCTCGTTAACAAATAGGCCAATAAAAAGCAGTTGTATAAAGTACTAAATATCTTTAACTTGCCTCAACGGAATGGCACGTATTTAATGCCAAAAACTTGAGATTCCAACGTACAAACACTGAACACGACAAACGTCATGTCCTACACGCGATCCACAATATAAAGAAGTCATTTAACACAACTTTTAACCCCAGTTGCCATGCAAAGGGTTAAGAGGTTTCAAGTGCAAGGTTTCAAAAGCGTTTTATAACCCAGCCTAAATCTAATTGAGCTAACTCTAACCCTAACCCTAACCCTAACCCTCAACCCTACCCTAGCTGAATCCCAAATCCCAAATCTCAAATCCCGAATCCCGAATCCAGAATCCCGAATCCCGAATCCCGAATCCCGAACAGCTGAGCAAAGAGTTTCCAGCAATCTGATTAGTCGAGCGGTCCCTTATATGACGCTATGTAAACCGCTCCACGCGGTTTATATAAAATGTTAAAATAAAATGTTAATAAATGTTACTAAATGTTATGATTTTAGAAATTTCTCTCTTGTTCAGCTCTGGAACTATACTAAAACAATTATTCGCCTCAGGTTCGGTGAATATTGTCCAATAATCCCGTCGACTTCGTCTCGGGGATTATTCGACAAT